AATAATAATAATAATAAGTTTCAATAAAAATGATAAAATGTAAATTTAATTTTATCATAACGAGTTTGCTTGAATTTCCTTTCTTCTGAGATCGCAGCAATGCGCAACGGGTAAGCTAGTTTCTTATATATTAAAACAGTAAGTTTTGAGTTTCATTTCAAACATGCAAAAAAAAAAATCCTTTATCCATTGATCTTTGAACAAGTTTTTTAAATTTGAATTGCCAATATTATGAATGAACTCTTGTTTGTTTGTTTTTGCAAACATATCGATGAAACATAATCATAGGATACTGAAGCCTCTCTTAATCATTTCAAGTGTCTGTAGATGCTGCAAGATCCAGAGAAAGTTAATATAGCTGGTTAATTGCTTATATAACATTTTCTATGACCAGATAGTAATCATCAAAGATGACCTTTAACTCTGATAATGGCATTACTTAAAGTATTTATTATCCTTGATATTTCAGCTTGTGTCTGACTTGTTTCCAGTATTGAAAGGGAAAAATTACATCTTAAAGCATTAATAAAAGTTTACAATCAAGACACTGAAAGAAAGCAACGTTTAAAGTTTAAATCAGAGAATAATGTATAATTTTATTATAATCTCTCTTTATACTGAACAATTGTTTTACTGTACTTTAGCAGATTTAACATAAAAAAATTTTATGTATTAATATTAGTCTTTTGACCTCTCTAGAATTTGTGAAAAACTAATAAATTTTTTCTTACTTTTCAATGATTATTACACATTAAAACTATTAGTCTGATAAACTATCTTCTTTTCATAGTTATTTCTACATATTTATGTACTTATATACAAAAATTTTAGGAAATAATAATTCTACTGTGCAGTTGTATTTATTTCATTAATTTAATCTTGTTAATTTTCGAAATAAATTTGATAACCAGGAATGTTTTATTCTGAAAACACTTTAACACAAATGATTTGAAAATATTTTTACCAATGCATAATTTTTAAAATAAAACATTTTTTATATGTTTAATAATATGTTCTATTAGGGAAATTTACAAAGCATTATTAATGAACGAGTACAGCATTAAATGTTTTAATTTAATTTAATTTAGTATTCCATATTTTAAATATAAAACATATTTCAACTTAAAATTTTCCTGTGACTGTCCTGTACAGTCACAACTGCAATAACAAAAGAGAATATTAATTCTCTGTAATCTTTCATATGTACTGTTTGTCAGCTTGCAAATACATTGTCTCAATTTCAGTTTTCTTCTTCAACATTATTTTTTCTATGACAATACTCCCTTGCATTTCAATTTACAAGCATGCAGCATTTTGTTATTTTTAGATCTAATCATTTTTAAAGACTACTGATAACTGTCAGTTTTCAATTTGAAAGATTCCATTTTTTTTAGATACCAGCTCCTAAATTAATTCTGTTACTTTTAAGTGTTGATTTTTGTTAACATCATTTATCATCTCCTATAATATATTAACATTAATATATTATAACAGATGAACCATTGCTGATGAAAACTAATAAGTAATATAAGTGATACAGTCATGAATTTTTTTTAATTACTATAGTAAACCAGACACTTGTTTCAATATATTCAGCTATCTTAGTTTGCTATATTGAATACAAATTACAATGAATAATTATAACAGAATAATCAAGATTATCTAAAATGTCCATTGACTATTTCATAGAATAATTTTATTAACATATTTCAAAATAAAATTATCTTTACACTAGTAGACAATTTCCAACAAACTGTTTCAAATGAAATCTGAGGAAATTAAGTCAGAAACATTAAAAATCCAATATCCGATACAAAATTGCATATATTGATACAGTGGTACCTCAGGATACGAACGCCCCAGCATACGAAATTTTCAGGATACGACATGAAATTCGAACATCTTTTTGCTCCACGATACGAACAAAAACTCACCATACGACGTTACATTAGTTCGCATTTTTCATTTGTTTTCCTTACTACAGTTATTTTTTTAATGTATTACTTGGCTTTAATTTGAGTATGTTTTTCGCGTTGGAACGAATTATTTGGTTTTACATGTAATCGTATGGGAAAAGATGATCCACCTTACGACAGTTTCATGATACGATCTCAGTTTCGGAACGGATTAATTTCGTATCCTGAGGTACCACTGTATATTGGTTTGTGAAAATTTTAATCAAATAAACTTTAGAAATTTCACCAATATGTATATTTAATTTATACAGTCGACCCCCCTATAATTATGGTCCCTATAATTACGATTCCTATAAAACTACGAAAAAATATACGTATTTTGGAAATGTCGAGTCGGATTAGTGTAGAATCGATTAATTTTATGGAAGAAAACCTTTCAATCAGCCGTAGTCCGTAAACTTGACACGTGTCGGGCTGTGATTGGAACGACTTGTAAGAAATCGGATTCCTAATAAATTGGAACGTATCTATATCTTATAGGGGGGGTCGACTGTATACATATTTAAAAGCTGTAAAATGATTTTAATAAATTTATCATCTATTAAAAACAATTTATTGAATAATGCTACAATGCATTATATTAATAATAAGTTATGTAGGTAAACAATTTGTAAAAAACTTCTGCTATTATCTGTTATATAAATCTAATAAATGTCAATACAAGAAGTACAGTAGTCTATATTCTCACTTAAGTATCTTTAATAATAACCCAATGGTCATAACATAGTTTTTAAAAGCTATCTATATTATCTTTGTATTTCATTCTATTAATAAAATGCTTAATTTTTATTAAATTTATAAATTAAAAGTTTTGCTGAATTTTATATCTAAAGTATAAAATTGTTGATTCAAAAGTAGGAGAATTTTAAATTGATCATGATAAAGATAATCAATCAGCATAAAATTAAATGAATTTCATATTTTTCATTTTCATCTAACATTTTCTAACATATTTCAGTTTTGATTCTTACTAAACTGCATTTTTATGACAAATATTTAATTATTGTTATTTCTCTTCAACATCAACTGCTGTTGCAGTTAATGTTTTTGGAAAATAGTGTAGCAAATAAAAGTCTGCACTCTGTACAGTTAAGATGCATACAAGATTGAGCAGCTATCTTCCAGGCAATGATCTGAAGGACAGTAGTGATGAAATAAGCTGGAAAAAACCTATCTATATTCATGTTGCCAGATCTGGTAACTCAATGCTTTTTGGTAGTAAATATTATAATGTTTATAATTGCAACTTTAAAAATCTTATTTTTGTCATTAAAGGAAGTCTACAAATTACTATTATTGATATAGGAATTTTGTACCTTTGCTCTAGTACTTACTGATTTTTGTTAGTGTAAATCATTTCATTGTGCTTATTCACCAGGTGAAACCATAAAATAGTTTAACACACATTTGATCCACTACAGTAAATAGTATTCTTGTTAGCATTATCTTTTAATTTAACTTTCTCTAACATAGTATTTTGTATGAAACAAATTTGGACTTTAAAATAACAACTGTGCATCATAATTATAGAAGAGATGGAGAAAAATCCATCAGAGAAGAGGATTGATGTAACTAAATGACTAGGCTTTCCACCATCAACCTTAAATTCAATTATTCAGAAGAAAAGTGCAATCAGTGGGTAAATATGTTACATCAGCCAAGAAGATAAAGACATACAGTGAGATGAAAAATGTTCTTTTAGTCTGCACTAGTACCCCAAGCATCAGACATTCATTTTAATGAGAAGATCTTGTGAAAAGAAATTCCCTTAAAATAGTTTCAACAATGAGGATTGAAAACTTTCTGCATCGAATGGTTGGATTTCCCATCCAAGCAATGCCATGGCCTAGTATTTAAAAAAGTGACCAAGGAGAGTGCTACTAGGCCATCTAGGTGAATATCAATGTCGTAAATCTCTGGTTAAAAAAACTTTCGAAACTACTAAAGGGATAACAAGGTGCAGGACATCTGAACATAATATAGACAAAATACATACCAGCCCAAACCCTGGCAATGAAAAAAAGATGTGCCATGAAAGAAAAAGTGCATGAAGGAAAGAAGTGACTGACAATGCTACTGTGCATAAACAGCAATAACACAAGACAAATGAGTGACCATCATTATTAGAAAGTCTTTGAAACCACAATATTAAGAAGCTACCTGTAACCTAACTTATTATGCCAATTTAAAAGTGTAAATTATTTACACTTACTCCATCATTATAATGAAGACTTTCAGACATTCTGCATGCTCTTATTGCATCGTTCAGTGCACAAGGTACGATATTCCCCTTGTTATAGACAATTGTTCTGCTCATTCTCTAGTAAAAATGGTTTATTATCCTCAAAATGTACAGTCAATTTATTTGGGTGTGATCAATGCTACAAGTGGATATATCGAAAGCATGCTAATGTAGAGCTCTATGTCTGATGAATGCAGGGAAAGGGATTCAACTGAAGATCAAATACTGCAGGCCATTCATTTTATTCTTTCAGCATGACAATGAGTGACCAGGCAACAATTCAGAATTGTTTTGTAAAATATGGCTGTATAAAGAATAAATAAGAATCAGATGTGATGGAGGTCAACATAAATATTGGGTATGTTGTTCTTTAAGATGAACACTAGGTTTGGCTTGGGGGAAAGCCCAGTTGGTAAGGACTTTGATCCCAACCAAGAGCTTACAACACAAGAGTATGCTAAATGTGAAAGAAATACTCAGCAAGATGAAAAGTAAAGTTACTTGGAGGAGGGATGAAGTTACAGGTGAGTTTATGGTTTTGAGTTTATGGAAGCATTTTTGTGACACCAAATGAGATCAAGCAAATATTATGAATATTGAGAGGTTATTGTTTGATTTGAAAAGTGCTACAAAATAAGTTTAATGATTTTTAAAAAAAAAATAATGCAGATTGAACTTGACAGTGAAAAAATATAAATGGTATAGGTTTTTTGTTTAGTAAATACATACAAGCTTTCACATCTTTCATTTTCTTGTATTGTTTTTGTATCTATCATTTTTATTTGTCTGGTCTCCTGACAAAATCAATGAATCATAGTTTCACTGTATTCTGATAACAGTTAAATAATGGATTATTCCGTTACTTTAAAATAAATCATATCTGAGTAAATATTTTGTAATGTACTATTAAATGTAAAAGTTTAAGATAAATTAAAAATAAATAATTTTAAACATTAAAAATTCAAACTGAAGACAACAGTATAATAATTATTACCTAAAGTAGAACCACCTTGACTGGGAACACATGTAAACCCTTGTGTACGTGGAAAATAGTAGACCGTGACACCATTAAAACAAACATTCTTTTTTCTTTTCTTCTTTGGAGGTTCATCTATCTCAGAATTGTCAGCACTTGCTTGACTTGTAGAAGTAGTAGGAGCTTCTGAACAACCATCTGACTGGACACTGCTGTTACTTGTATCATCTTTATCGATTAAATTATTTGAATAGTCTTTATTATTCATCAATAGTGATGCTGAATTTTCCATATCATTTTTATTTCCTGCACCATTATTGATGCAGTTTTCATACTGACGTTTTGACATGGAGGAAGAAATGAAAGATCCAAGTTTAGCCTAAAAAAAATATAACAAAATTAAATTTAATTATTTAAATTTTCTTCATTTTATTGATATTTATTTTAACTTTATTAATACAAAATTGAATTTCTGAATTTTACAAATATTAAAATGGTTGCAAATATTTAACCATTCAAATTTTACTAATAGATTAATTAATGTTAATTAAATTTAATGAGACATTAGATAAGTTTTTCAAATCTTTAAATATTTAATAGCAAATAAGATAATGAAATAAATTAATAACAAAATTCATCCATTTACAATTAACTGTACACTAAAATTGTAATTAGTTTACTGATAAACATATGTATAGTTGTTTACACATGTTTATCTGTAAACATATGGACCTTCACTGAATGTTGTACTCAGAACATTCAGTAAAGCCCACACTTGATAATATGGCTAAGAGCATTTAAATTATTCAAAAATATAATAATTTAATATAAATTTCAAATTTTTTTATAAAAATGGCATAACTCTTCTTACATATTTTTTCCAATCCTTTTTTTAAAAATTTGAACATTTTAATATCATTGAATGTTACAAAATAGTTTGCTGGTTAAGGTTAAATTGTTTATAAAATCTAATGTTTTTTTCTATCTCTGTGACCATTATCAAGGTATTTCAATAACTAATAGTATATTACTTATACATAGAATTAAGTTTGTAAGTAATGTTCTATTTTGGAATATCCTTCAGATAGTAATAGAAAATGGCTATCTGAAAACATCTGATTTAATAAATAGTTTACTGGTTAAGTTTGAATTGTTTTTGCCTCATAATCAGGTTAAAGCACCACTTTAAAAAATATACAGTTACAAAATAATACATTAAAATACTCTCTCAAGAGCTTCAAAACAAAATTATATATGTATTTTTTAGCAAATGTTTTCATTTGAAGTTATATAAACTTTTAAGGAACATGCTACTAGACATTTTAAAACCTTTTAATTTTAAATACATATTTAAATTACATTAATTATGTATTTAAAATTACTAAATTGCTTAAAGTATTTAAAATAATAATTAACAAATTATTCATCAGCTATTTTAACATAATTTAATAAAAAAAACTTTTTTCTTATTTTAATTTTCTAACTATTTTTTTGAATTTATTACTATGTTAAATAAATATATAAATTTTTAAGCAATAATTTTCCAATTCTAACTCACATTATCAAAAAATCTTTTTAAATAAATGAATTTATAAAACTAAATTTTAAATAATAAGCTTTGTAGAATTCATCTGCATAATGGTTTACAATAATTTTAAATTTAAGGAAAAGAAAAATAAAACAAAAGGTTTTTAGAAATGGATAGAATATAGGATTCTTTGGTGATTAACTCGAAAATGGAAAATTGCCATTAGAGTAGCTGCCTGAAGATGAATTTAACCAGCATGAAAAGTTCTTGGGCATTAACAAATAAACTGAGATCCAAACTGGAACAGGTAATAAACATAAAATATAACACACATATACATATAAACACCTTACTTGCTTTTCCAGCATTTTGATGTCCTGAAAAAGGCTAAAAATGTTAGGTGTCATCTCTATACCACAAATGGTTATGTTTAAAGTTAAAATACACCTGGAAGCAAACAACTGCTTGGAGGTTGCGGGTTCAAGTCCCACTCTGGGCTAGTTCTTTTCTTCCAGACTGTTCTAAATTATTTAATAAATTATTAAAGCTGAAAACATTTAGAAAAGCATTCCAAACTGTTGGAAAAGCAAGTAAGGTATATATTTTCTGTTTGATAAACTGTTTTTTCTCAAGTTATACTAAAATACAATTTTTTGGAAAACTAACCTTTACATAACATTTTTTGAAATTATTATTTTTCTCAACAGAATTCTCTGAAAATTTTAACTATTTAAATTCAGAATAACGTATTTTATTAATAAAGGTATACTGTGTTTTTAACTCTTATGAAAACTGCAAAATAACTAGTAACAAAGAAAATGCATATCATTGTTGCAGCACTTCCACCAGATTGGCTGATTAAATTCTTTCTTATAAATTTTAAAATGATTAGATATTAAATCTCCTTAAATTTTTGTTAAACATAAAATTTCAAGATTAAATTAGTGTATGTTACACAAAAAAATTTTTAAAATAAAATGTAAACACTTAGCTTTAAAATGATAACACTTATTTTAAATTTTTTGACTCAAAAGAAAGAAATAAAAAAAAACAAATTAGACATTATTGTTAGTGCATGTAAAAATATTAATTTCTTTAAATTTAAAAATTTTTCAATGAATTACAACAATACTAATATTTTTAGTTTTTCAAAGGACTTCAAATGGAATTTTCTAAGCATTGGCAGACCACATTGGCATATAAATGATACTATGAATCAATAACTATGAAGTAATAAAGAAATGGTAAAGTTGCAAGCCATTCATTTATCATCCTATAGCACTGTACACCTATTAATAAATCTATTATATAGTTTATAAAAATGCAGAAAAAAAATTAGCCTATTTTTTAATAGGCTAATTTTTATGGTTAAAATTGAATTCTGCATTATTATTTCCTTATTTTTCATATAGTAATGTTTTGTATCAGATAAGAATAGATTAAGACAAATGCTAAAAATTATACAAATATAATAACATAAACAATGTAAATAAATAATAAAAGAATAATTATGAGATAGTAATAAAATTTTAAAAGATAGATGTCTAATAACAACACAGTACAGTACAATCTTGGTAATCCAGTTGTTTGCCAGTCTGACATGTCTAGTAATCCAATACTAGTCGACTCTCAGGTATTACTGACACCAAATCATAGACAAGCTTTCCATTAGTTCAAACTATGGTTTCCACTAAATTTAAAACAACTTCCCACTAAATATGGTATAATATCAAACTGGACACACTATCAACCTTAATTTAGTTTTTAGCATTTTTTATAGAAACTGTATTAAACTGCTTCATAATATAATGTATATATATATATAGAGAGANAATTTATTTATTTAATTATTATTTATTTAATTATTAATTTAATTAAGAGATGGCGCCTAACGCCTACCTCTAATTGTCAAATTACTTAGTTCCAATCATTTAAAATAGCCATATTATAGCCCGATAATTAGGCAATCGTTTGGTGTTGTTATTATATAGTATTAATTGATATTCCATTTAAAAATAATAATAATTAATTGATATGTCATACCAATTAATTTACCCACCCATCAGATAAATTGACCAACCCCTTAAGGTCACTAGTGACAATGTGGTAAATCTGACCGACATGAAGATAATACACTACTATATATTATATAAGAGGGATGTTCAAAAATTATCGGACCTTTGGTCAGCAAAAATACATTTATTGATTTTGAGGTACAAAACCCTAATCCTCTTCAAAGTAGTCTCCTTGGTAATGTATACACTTCTCCCAGCACTCCTGCCATTGCTGGAAACACTGCTGGAACGCATCTTTTGGAACAGCCGTCAGCTGGTCCGTCGCATTCCGCATGATGTCTTCTCTTGACTAAAACCAGGTTCCTTTTGGCAACATTTTCAGCTTGGGAAATAGCCAAAAGTCACACGGAGCCATGTTGGGGGATTACGGAGCGTGACGAACCACAGGAATGTTGTGTTTGGCAATGAAAGTCTGAATCAGATGCGCAGAATGGGCAGGTGTGTTATCATGATGGAGCTGCCAAGTTTTGGTTGACCACAGATCCAGTCGTTTGCATCGCATAGCATCACAAAGATGACGAAGGACCTCCTGGTAGTACTCCTTTGTAATGGTTTGGCCTTGTGGTGCATACTCAGGATACACCACCCCACAAGAGTAAAAAAAAACTGTCAACATGTCAACACGACCTTGACATTTCTGCGGACCTGTTGCACTGTTTTTGGCCTCGAGGATCGTCCCTGAAAGCCTGCTGAATCTTGCAAATGATTTCCGTTTGGGTATCGCCAAGCTTTTGGCAAAATTTGATGCAATATTGCTGCTCACGTTGTTCAGTCATTTTCCAACTTAGTGGAATCTGACGAGAGCTGGCTATACGTCCTCACTCATAGGCCGACTGCAGCGACTGATGCTTCCTGCAGGCAGAAAAAAAATTCAGGACTGTGCATGACTGTCCCCTCCACAACTCCACTGAAAGAGATCTCCCGTGCATCATTGGTTTACGTGGGAAAAATAAAGGTCTGATACTTTTTGAACACCTCTCATACAATATATGAGCACAATTATTATAGTCTAGTCGTAAGTGATAATGCTGTAGCATATAGCAGTTAGATCCACTGGATAATTGAATGGAATGGCCATTTGGTCATCCAGCCTGTCATTCTAAGGAACCTACGACGATTTTTTGACGATTTTTTTTATCAGTTCCATTTTAAGGCTTCATTCCTCCCAGGCTCAGCGACTGTTTGTCTGTTACACCTGACTTACAGCGTTAGTGGCAGTTATACACTCCATTCCAGAAAACAGTGCCTCGACAGTCTATAAAACATGCTGAAGGTTTAGTTTGATTTTGTTTATTTGCCTCTATTTAGGTGTTAAAAACGTGAAAAAAGTCCAAGAAAACTCCATGTAGCCAGTCTTCGGCCAGGTGCCAATCCACAACAAACTACCAACTTTTGGTAGTTTTATCCACTCACCCATTGATGCTGAAGTTGTGGTAAATTTATCATGTTCCACCACTCAAATATCTATGCTGCATGCTCTAAATGTTGTACTGGTTGCAGATAGCATTCATTCATTCATTCATTTCATTCATTTTTATTTACTATGTACTGTCAAGTACATTCCTGGCCCCGCATGGAGCATTACCAGGTAAGGAACCTACATCAAATCTCAAATTTTTGAAAAGATACTGACCTGGATACATTGGATTCTGTTCTCATTATAAGCAGCTGGACACTGGTTGTTGGCTGAAGCCATGAAGAATTTGCATAAAAGATCCTCTAAGAGGCTCTTTTATGTAAATTCTTCAAACCATACATTCTAATAATTTTGTTTAA